AGGCGCGGAGGCATATATATTCCGGTAGATATAACACGCCACGTCTGGCAAAATTGTGTTCCAAATCACTACATTTGAAAAGCTTTTTACTGTGCTCCCAAACAACTGTTGCTGTAAAGACAAAATTGGCAGGCATAGTAAGCATTATTGAACACAAACGTGGCATGCGTGAAGAAGTAGGTGCTGTCCACATATAACCAAAACGGAACGTGATGAGAACGAATCAGGGAGATAAAAACAACAACAAAGATAACAAAGTTAAAAGGCGTAGAGCATCATATTTAAGAGAACGTTGTGTGGAACAATTTTCGGCTTTCTTTGGCGTAGGCGTAATGACGACTCTGAGATCGCTGGAGCAACATCTTGTTTAAAAGAACTAATTTCCGTCCCCCAATCCCCATAGAGGTACCGCCATCACTCGACATAACATGTCAAACAGAAAGCAGGAGATGCGGAATAGGTGACAACAGGACAGGACAAGACAGCTTATCGTCTGGGGCAGGATGAGAGAGGACAAGATAGAACAGGATGAGTGGGCGATAGCGGCGCAGGGCAGGAGATAACAGGATTAAAAAGCAGTCATCGTTAGAACGTTACGACGCACTCCGCTGCCGAGGCTATATGCCGTTGCCTGTCTCTCATCCTGGCTGGAAAGCCGGCCCCGCGGGGGATCGAACCCCGTGCCTCTGGTCTCCCAAACTTGTAGTGGTTAACGCAGATGCGTTGACTTCTATACTGTCTCGGCACTCTGGGTGTGTAACAGCAGACAAGATAAGTCTGGACAGGAGAAGAGATTACATGACAGGACAGGACAGAAAAGGAAAGAGTAGTGCGGTACATGGCGCACAATCGGGATGGGCAGAAGGAAATTCATCAAAATAAGTCGAGAAGATATGTCTACTTCATCTTTACCCAATTACATTACGAATCTTGGCTGTTGTTCTCCCCCCTCCCTCCTTCTCTTTCCACCTAGCACTGGCCAATGTCGACATCGCTCCACACAAAACGCCCCTGTGTTCCTCTGAATGGGGAACACTCAACGGCTATCTATGGCCGGCGCAGGCGGTGGTTGGCAGTCGACAGCGCCGCGGTTCGCTCACGGCGGGCCTGCACTTGTTACATTAACGGAGCCACACGTCATAAGTATATATCAAAACGCATGGTACTGCTCACTATTATATTCCAAACTGCACAATAAACACACCTGTTGAAGGTGTCATGTGGTCATAGGGCATGATATAGCCCATATGAACATGTAAGGCTGAACAAATTCGGTGCTGGGCAAAATTTGACCTTTCAAGTATCGACCTAGCAGGAGCAAAGTTAGCAGCAATCTCGAGAGGTCTTTGAGACCTAGCCACTGGTGTTTTTTTACCAGACTTAATCGTTTTTGGTTTGGAAACGGCAGAAGCATGGAGATTAGCGCATCGACCCCCGCTTTCAGTCCGCTGTTTGAAAAACGGCGAATCAGGGCGAGCGTTGTTTATCACTTGCGTTCTCTCTTTCAAGCCACCGGTCATGTTCATGTGGACTGAGTACGCAAGCATCGAACTAGTGACCTCAGGTTACATGGGTGCAGTTTCCTATTCAGTAGCAGTCCCCACCTCACACACCTAGATTCCTGCCTGCCCCAAATTTGTGAAGAAAGTGGGAAAATCCGCGGAACAAGGCGTCTGGTGGCGTAGTTTAGGGGTCGATCATGAAAATATTAATTGCTCAGTCCCCCCGCCATCCCATTTTGCGAAACACGTCCTTGTCATATTATCTGCACCGAGTGACAATGCGCATGTTGTGATGTCTTTTGGCACGTATGCGACATATTTCAACTTCTCTCTACCAATAAAGTTTGTAAAAATACACCCATTTAGTCTGCGCAGATTTGTTTTCATGAGTTATTTAGGAGTTGCCACACGCCATTTTGTATTTTCTCTCTTCGTGACCATGACGGCAAGAACGTCTTTTTTGTCAAATTCACATCACTTAGTTTTAGAGATGCGGTGATGGTAATCTGACTAGATCCGTACACTTGAAAGTACTGTAAGTTTATCTATGTACAATTTGCTCATTTCGCTCAGCATCGGTGCTTCTGATCTTCAAGTTGACTTCAAGAACTCTTACGACTTCGCTGCTACTGCGCAGTCGCACTGTTATTATAATGCATTGGTTGCCACCCCATTGCGCACCGGTAGCTGCGTACGATGTTCATGTTTAGTATTTCGCGGACGTCAGCCCAGCGAAAATCTCCCATTTGATAGCTTTTTCAAAGGATTTTCCCCACCAGCGGCAATTTTTATCTCCCAGATTAAGACCGCGTTCGATCTGTCGTCAGCACGTACGTCAGCTGGAATGCGTGACGTCATGCGTGCTGGCGGTGCGTCTGATGTGTGGGCTGAGAAGAAGGTTTTTAAACTTTACTTTCCCTTCTTCCATAACCTTTTTCTTTAAACCACACACTAGCTCTGGCTTACCGCCGACACACTACGTGCAAAGTGGTGCCTGGAAGTGTGGCTTCTGTTCCAGCATTACTATCATCCATCGCGTCCGCATGTTGAGTGCTTCTTCCCATTCCAAATTCATTTCAATTACGTAAGTTGTTCGGAGCATTAGGGAGGAACCTTATTACACATAGATACGACAGTAGTATTAGCATTATTCTTCGGAGAGAAAAAAGAAACAGGAGAATGGAGATATAGTTGGGCTGATATTTCGGCAACATGCCTTTATTGAAACAATAGCAAAAGCGAATTCAGAATTGCTTACCGATGATCCTGCTCCATTTTTCAGGTTTTTTATAAAGCAAGCCACAGTTTTTACAGGACACGAACACTCAGGGGAGTAAACAAAGAGCGATTGCTAACCATTACCACGATAGAGTGCCCACTTAAGAATTACGATGTAATTCTACATTGTAATTACATTGTACATCGTAACACATGTGCATAATCGTGTACGTTGCCTACCTAAGAATTACAACGTAATTACAATGTACAATTACGTTGTAATTCTTAGGTAGGCACTGCATCGTAGTAATGGCTGGTAATCGCTCTTTGTTTAATCCCCTGGGTGTTCGTGCTCATCGCAGGCAAGTTTGAATCCACTTCTGCTATTGTTCCGATAAAGGCATGTTGCCGAAATATCAACCCAGCTATATTTCCATTGTCATGGTTTTGCTCCGAGGAACAAGGCTAATACTACTGTCTTATCATTGCAATTTCTTTCCTCTAATTTGAGCGTTTACTTATGATGCTATTGATTTGCTGGGCAACGCAACCACACACCACACCCGCTCCTTGAACACGATGCATCACACTGCCTTCCGCATCACGACAGGCGGATTCAGGACCTCTCCAACAGCGAGCCTCCTTGTTGAGGCCCACAAGCCCCTTTTGTCCACTAGGAGAAAGATACTGGGCATGAGATACGCCTGTACATTGGCACAGTTCCCCGATCACCCAACATACAAGTGGGTCTTTTCTCGCCGAATAATACGTATGTGTCTGGCTGGGAGAGTACATCAGATCGCACCTTCCTGCGTGAGGATGTTCATACTTTTGCAGGAGTGTGGCATTGGCACACGGCATGTGATTCGTTGGGAAATTCCCGAGACCCTTCCACGGAGGCTCTACCCACCAGCGGTAGATGCCTCACTTTTGCATTTCGAGAAGAGGCAGGTATCCCCGGATGAGTTTCGGCTGAGGTCTTTGGAGCTGATCGCGTCGTTCCCGGATCATAAAGAAGACCCACACGGACGGTTCGAAAGCGGATGCCGGTGTTGGATGGGCTTTTGTGCAGGGTCCTGTCACACGGTCTTTTGCTTGGCCTGGTCACGCATCGGTCTTCACATCCGAGCTAATAGCCATTCTTAAAGCACTTTATTTTATAGAAGTTGACAGTGAGGACCAACACTTAGTTTTATCGGGCTCTCTTAGTAGCCTTATGGCACTGCAGGTTTTGGATTCATCACATCCCATCGTTCCGAACATTTCAATTCTTCTTACTACTCTGTCCCGATTCGGGAAGCACGTGGTATTCTTCTGGATACCAAGCCACGTTGGCATATCAGGTAATGAAGTAGCTGATGCCGCAGCGCGGCGTGTCATACACGCATCTGGCATCCCTACTATGACAGTCCCTGCTAACGAACTATATGCAGTGTTATCTGCATTCATGTTGAAGCAGTGACAAGCGGGTTGGGGTGTGCATACCGCCAATAAACTGAGAGAGATAAATCCCCCGTTGGGACCATAGGCGTCCAGCTGTCGTAAGGTGAGGTGGGAGGAAGTGACGCCATGCCGCCTGGGAATAGAACACACATACGCAACTCACCGATACCTGTTATGCGGGGAAGATCAACCGCGGTGTCCTCGCTGCGGGGATCGTTGCACCGTCCGACATGTCTTAATAGATTGTGCCCACTTCGCCCCGGAACGCATGCGCCATTTTGGATCAGGGTCCGTGCGTCAAACGCTCTATGGTGTGCCTTGGAGACGACTCGAGCTCAGTAAATGACAGTCGCATGACGGCCGTGCGCGGTTGTCCCAGACCCCCGGCTGAGTGAATTTAAGTTATGTGTCGCGTATTACCTGTAGGTCCGCAGTGGGACCGGGCGGGTCCAGACTTGACTTCAAGACCACCTGCTGCCGTTTCTGGAGAGCCTAATCCACCTAATCAACTGCCGTCGTGCTGCCAGACCCGAGATAAAGTCCTGCTGCCGTTCAGAGGTTATCAGATCGATTCAAGCAATCTGACAGTGCAGCCACATCTGGGCACTACATCATAGCATTTTTTATTCCCCAAGCTTCCATATCGACCTTACAGGCCTCCTTTCATGCCGCCACATCCGGGAGTTACGGCACGACCACCCACTGCCGTTTCTGTGCTGTCTGATCTACCCAACTGGCCACACCTGTATTGCCAGATCCGAGAGCTACGGCACGACAACCTACTGCCGTTTATGTGCTGTCTGATCTACCCAACTGGTCACATCCCTGTATTGGCAGATCCGAGAGCTGCGGCACGACAACCTGCTGCCGTTTCTGGGCGCCTCGGTGGACCCGGGCCAGGTATGTGTGCTGGAGCCGTATTGCGCGCGCGGCAGCCTGCAGGACATTCTCAGCAACCACGACGTGGTGCTCGACAACATGTTCGTGGCCTCGCTCATCTTCGACCTGCTCAAGGTGAGCAGTTGGCGGGCCTTACCCTGGGCATGCATGACTTAAAATGATGGTTCCATATGTAAAGGTGTGAATGGTTGGGGTTTCCACGAAATATTTTGCACATCTCCGCGAGCGTATAGCTCAGAAGCCAGAAGGGTTTGGGCCTTTGAAGGTTTTGGGTCTGGGTCTTTTGGGTTTGGGAAAGACAGGGCTGTGGACTGCACCCAACGATCTTCCAAAAGGCTATTTCAGTTCAAAACAACATACAAATGTGGAACATTCCCTTTAATGTGACGTCATTCCACGCAGTCCAAAGCGCTGCGGTCGCGCACTAAGTGGCGGTATCTGGCTTTAGCCTCATATGTCATTGGTTGAGGAAACCTCTTTCTACTTCTGTGTGATAATATTACGCTCTGGTGGATACGCTTTTGAGACATTATTTCAGTTTTCCATCGATCACTTTTCCGGGAGTCGCTTCGCAACGTTTTTGAGCTGGATTTTTGTGAAAGTGCTTCGGTGCAAACTTACTCGCAAGACCTGGGTTGTAAACGGGGACAGACATAATATTTTTGACAGTTGGAATCCTTGATTGTCATGAAACGGAAGTTCAATAGTAACAGCTGAGTATGAGTGGAATTCAACGATCGATTTTCTGTGGAAGTTTAGTATATGTTTGTGAACCTGTTACGGGCTTGACATATTTCGCCTCTTTTGTTCTGTTTTAAGCTTTGCAAGCCGGTAAAAACACAACGTTCTTTTAGCTTACATTTACGTCTCCATCACTGCATTCACATAAAGGCATACTGCTCTACTTGCTGGGGTGTCATGGACAGCAATTGATGTTGTGCACAACTTCGAGATGCATTTGAACACCCATGTTTTGGACTGATATCTGCGTTATGTGTTTGCTTAATTGCTGGGGTGCTTACTTCATGTCCGAAAGCTCTAGTCCACCCTACTGCCAGGGGTGCAGGCAGGTTTTGTGGCGGGGCGGAGGCAACAGAATCTGTGACGACGGGGAGAAGACTTTTCCCTGCTTACTGCTACCAGTGTGGCTCTCCCACCCCTAGCAAAAAAACCGTCGCGACGGCTTACCACGGGCACGGAACCGGACTTGTTTAAGCTTTGAGCCCCAATTCCCTAATGTGACACGGCGACCTTTGACAGCATTAACAATGGAATTGCGACAACCCTTGAGCCCCCCCCCCCCCCCGTCCTTCCCCTACTTCCGACATCGGATCAATTCCCTCGTCCACTGTCCTCGACCCGCGAGCGCTTATGGCCGAAGCGTTCTCGGACAATTAGCTTGATGATGATAGTGAGCAATGAAGCCATGTGCCGTTCATTTACTGACGGCGGTGATCTGCTGCTCTTGTCACAGGGCATGATTTACCTGCATGACAGTGAGGTGGTGTCGCACGGCAGTCTGCGCTCCTCCAAATGCCTGGTCGACTCTCGCTGGGTGCTGCAGATCACCGGCCACGGCCTGCACGAGCTCAAAGGTCAGCCTGTGACCCCGCGTGCACACACGCACACGGCCAGGTCCAGTCATGTCATGAGGAGGCTGAAAGCCAAGGTCGGGTCGTGGTACACGCCACATAGAAGGTTAAAACGGGCTTAGTGATGCACAAAGAGGAATGGTCCGATGCGCTGATGGAAAGATTGGGTCACCTGATGCTTTTGTGGAAAAGGCGGGTTGGCTCCTTAGTCTTTATTCTCCGGCTAGGAGAAGTCTTTTGCTCAATATGCTTGTTGGGTGCTGGAAACACAGAGGCCCTTTCAAGCCTCTGGAGGCAATCGATTCCCATGCCCACGGTATACCATGGGTATGGCTATGGCATAGGATGCTTAAAGGGGTGTCCATGGTCCCCTGGGCGAAATATTACATGATCATCCAGCAACGTTATGCTTATTCGACTACCCGTAGCGTGTGTTGCCATGTTCCTGAGTGTTTTAATTCAGGACAGTGCCGTATGCGCTGTCCCTCATTGCTTTTTGGAATATGACCTTGACATCTGATCTTGAAGTGGGTGTGCCCGGGTATGTTCTGAACTTTCGCCAACCTACGATCTCGCCCAAGGTTAGCGATATTTAATTTTCGTTTTCATAGCGTAGGAAGCTAAGGTCCCTTGTTGACATCTCGCTACATTCTCCTGCTCAGGAAAGTAAGATCCCTGGCTCCTCGTGTGTAGGAAAGGGGGCGGGGGATAGTGGAGGTGCGGTGTAACCGGGTAGGTAGCATCGAAGCCAACTATCGCATTTTCGACGCCCGAAAGAGTGCTTGGTGTGCGGCAAACAGCATCGAGCTCCCTTAAAAACGATCTCATCATGACCATGATACTTCATAACTTCTTATTTTTGGTCTGTATGTGTGTATGTCACAAAATGGGTGCACTGTAAAACCTGATTACATTCATTTGAGTGACGATGCTGACTGAAGTGAGCCGCTTCGATATTATTATGGTTTGCGTTAACGTCAACCTTATGGTAAGACTCGATGTGGTTTTCAGCCTGAATGACGTGATGTAAATCTAAGCATAAGTGATGCGTCTTACCATAAAACCATTTGAAATGTACAAAATTCCTGAAAAACCCTGCTGCGCACCGCCAAAATATCTCGCCAAGTCCCGATTTTGGCACATTATCACAATGCATACCCTGTCTGGATGCATGGGTATTGATAACTGAAAAACCCTGAATATTTGGGAATACCCCGAGTTTTCATAAACATATATTTAATGATAAATGATGATTAATCGTTTTCAGAGTGGCGAAGGGCATGTTTTGTCGGGAACAAGGCAGGGCCGCCACCCATGGCGCCCGGAACCCACGCCCTTGCAACATGTGCTCCCTAGCGCCTTTCTAACCACATTTTACCCCACTGGTTTGGAATTCGTAGCAAACTCGGAAGCTGACCGCCCTCAGCAACCTGTGGGCGTCCCCAGCCAGCTCTGAATCATGCATCTCTTTCCAGCCTGTGGACCAGTGCTCTGTGTCGTCCCCAGCCCGCTCCAAAGCTTACATCACTCCCCGGCATGTTTACCAGCTGTCTTGGATCGTCCCCAGCCAGCTCTGATGACAACAAAACCACCAATCAGCGCGCGCTGCTGTGGAAGGCGCCGGAGCTACTAAGGAATCCTGCTCACCCGCCACGGGGCACGCAGAAGGGCGACGTCTACAGCTTCGGCATCATCTTGTACGAGATCATTGGTCGCAAGGGACCCTGGGGCGACACCACGCTGTCACTCAAAGGTAACTTGGCCGGTGCAGGGTGCGCCGTTGCTGGAGGAAAGCGAGGTGACGGGCCGATGAAGCACAACACAGTCATTGAATCAGCCCGGAATAGGCAGTGGAAAAGATTGGCACTGGCTTACTCGGACATTTTGCGGTCAGACAGGGTGCTGTGAAGCGGAGCAGGAGATGGTGCTTAGGAATGGGGAGGGAAGGGGGTGGCTAGAAGGTTACTGGAAGGTTAGGCAACGGGATCGTTGGAACGGGACAGGTCCTCGGCGTTTTCTTTCCTTTTCTTTTTTTTTGCTTCAGATTTTCAGGGTGCTCCCGGAACAGACCCTCCCGTTCACATCAATGTTTTATTCCATCCGTTTAAGCAGTTCAGGTGTTTAATTTGATGCAAAGTTGCGCCATCACCAGGTCGTGAACGCTTCAGCCGAACGTTTGAGCTTCCGAAACTATGGAACAAGACGCATCGAAGCTCCATTTTTGCGCGGTCCAATATCGATTAGAAGTCATTGTCTGAGAAGTTGCCACGCATGCTTAATGTCAGTCGTGCATTAAGTCTGGCAGCTTATAATTTAAAGACGTGTGCGCCCGCAGATACCACATCGCGGTGCGTCGAACGTCGCGAGTTGCGACTAGACTATGACAGCACCGAGCCATCCTTCAGCCGCATGCAATGAACATTATGTGTCACACGACGCCCACGTGAATGTCAGGGTCCGCGCATTACGACGCGGCAGCCCCTCCCCTTGAAGTCCATCGGTGCTGTGCAGAGCCAGCCGACGTGGCCCGGGTACCTGAGCGCCGCCGGCCGAAACTTATACCGCCGTAATGTTCACCAGCTTGACTCGCCACGATAGCACTGTTTCTCTCGGCAAGCAGACTCTCAAAACACGGCGAACGACATGGTCGCCACGCCGGGGGCCTGGCGTTTGCCTCAAGTGAGTGTCGAGCCAGGCGCGGTTGTGACATTCCAGAAACAAACAAAGCTATCTCCCAGCCGCAGATGAAGCGCGAATTAACGCCGGTAAGCTCGTCGTGCTCGCCGTCATTGTCCATGCCCGGTCCGTTCCAGAGATCCAGGAACGGCTGGTGCACCCGGAGCTGTACGGCGGCCGCGTGCTCCGGCCCGACACAGAGTGGCTCAAGTGTGCCGACCACGTGCAGCGCTGCATGCACGAGTGTTGGCGGGAGGCAGCCGACGAGCGGCCAGACTTCCGCTTGATCCGGCTCAGCTTGAAGGAGATGCAGGCTGGACTGTGAGGAGGCTCTCTCTCTCTCTCTCTCTCTCTCTCTCTCTCTCTCTCTCTCTCTCTCTCTCTCTCTCTCTCTCTCTCTCTCTCTCTCTCTCTCTCTCTCTCTCTCTCTCTCTCTCTCTCTCTCTCTCTCTCTCTCTCTCTCTCTCTCTCTCTCTCTCTCTCTCTCTCTCTCTCTCTCTCTCTCTCTCTCTCTCTCCTCTCTCTCTCTCTCTCTCTCTCTCTCTCTCTCTCTCTCTCTCTCTCTCTCTCTCTCTCTCTCTCTCTCTCTCTCTCTCTCTCTCTCTCTCTCTCTTTAGAAGCAGAAGTTATGTTGTGGTACATTTTAAGGAGAGGCCAGTTCTTGCTGATAACTTACATTAGTTGCCTGGCCGTTGTTTTATGTTTTTACAAGCAACGCTCACAGAACTCACAGCATACAGATTTCAAGCTCGACCTGGGCTGTCGCTTGTGTCAAGCGTATGCTCATTACTTGTTTTATTGCAATATATTATTTCTAGTTGCCGGCTGGGAATCCTGCAACCCTAGACTGCTGTTCCATAATTTTTAGCCCGCACCATGCCTGAAGTGAAATAATTAACAAAATTGCTCGGCTCAATTGGCGCGCAATGTTGACACCACATGAAAAGAAAAGCTATATATCCGTTGTTATGTCATTCAGGTAGACAGCCCTGCGCGTGTACATGGTAAATGATGTCATTCCCAGCTGGCACCCCTGCCGACAGCTGAGGCAGCAAGTGGCAGCGGGCCACGTGCGACCTAGTTTGGCTGCGGAATAGTTTGTGCCGAGTTCTCAGTCATTGGCCACAGTGACAGAGTGGAAAGTACTGCGTCTTGTGTGACCTTAGTCTTCCCTGGGATACGATTGGTGCTTGACCTGATCTCGGCAGACGTTATGACGCGGACTTGGAAAACGTCGCGGGTCGAGCAGCATGTGATGCAATGCCTCACCAGCACTGACGAACAGTTCATGGGAGGGAGTCACAGTCTGCTGTGTACACGGCGATCCCTCACCAGCACTGACGAACAGTTCATGGGAGGGAGTCACAGTCTGCTGTGTACACGGCGATCCCTCACCAGCACTGACGAACAGTTCATGGGAGGGAGTCACAGTCTGCTGTGTACACGGCGATCCCTCACAAGCATTGACGAACAGTTCATGGGAGGGAGTCACAGCCTGCTGTGTACACGGCGATCCCTCACCAGCACTGACGAACAGTTCATGGGAGGGAGTCACAGCCTGCTGTGTACACGGCGATCCCTCACCAGCACTGACGAACAGTTCATGGGAGGGAGTTACAGCCTGCTGTGTACACGGCGATCCCTCACCAGCACTGACGAACAGTTCATGGGAGGGAGTCACAGTCTGCTGTGTACACGGCGATCCCTCACCAGCACTGACGAACAATTCATGGGAGGGAGTCACAGTCTGCTGTGTACACGGCGATCCCTCACAAGCACTGACGAACAGTTCATGGGAGGGAGTCACAGCCTGCTGTGTACACGGCGATCTCTCACCAGCACTGACGAACAGTTCATGGGAGGGAGTCACAGCCTGCTGTGTACACGGCGATCCCTCACAAGCACTGACGAACAGTTCATGGGAGGGAGTCACAGTCTGCTGTGTACACGGCGATCTTGGCCGGGGAGCTTCTGTAACTGTTCTGATTGTTTAAGTAGGGACCATAGGACGACCCGAGTCCTGCTTCACAGTCCCCTTACTCGTCAACGAGATTCTGCGTCCGTGGAACTGGGCCGGCGACATCGCTCCAGAGAGCTATAGAAACACATAGTCTGCTGTACGATTGCTACACGTCGCTTCGGATGCCTCTCCTGCCTGCTTTGTTTTGGATGGCTCTCGCGCCAAACATTTACATCATGTGTTTTAGGCCCGCGTGGTAAGGCACGAAGCTGCTGTAAATTTGAGCTATAGGCGCTACGTGACAGAGCAGGGCGTCATCATCACCCGGCCAGCTGCTGCCAGTCTCTAGGCTCTCTCGCCAGAGGCTCCATGCTGATGCCGGCAGGAGGCCCAACATCTTTGACAACATGCTGGAACTGATGGAGAAGTACTCGTACAACCTGGAGGGTCTGGTGCAGGAGCGCACCCACCAGCTGATGGAGGAGAAGAAGAAGACGGAGGAGCTGCTGTACCGCATGCTCCCCAGGTCCGCCCCGTGATTCCTCGGCCCGAAGCCGACAGATTATTTATGCTCCCCGTGGGACTTCTGGCCTAACGCTGCCGCCGCTTTGGATGTGATGCGTGTACACCATGTTTTCGGATGCTACCAACATATTAAACACATGTTATTGAGTAGTTGGTGTGCCTCCATACATTCCCGAAATTTTCTCTGGCACAGAAAATGTGATCGATTTGTTTGGTCAATGTTGTTGTTTTTATGTATCATCTAGGACCATGTCAATGGCCTAAGCATGGTGTTTGCGTTCATGTTCGCATCAAGTTTGCTAGTGAGCCCACAGCCGGCGTGAAGGTGATGCTTCGCTGGGTGGATGGTCTATCCTCACGACAAGATTACAGGCGGACGTCTTGTGAACTTACGGTGCACTGTGCAATCTGCAATCATGAATTGTTCCTACAATACCTAAGCTGGGTGCCTTTCACCGCCGCCGTGCGGAAAAACGTTGTTCAGAAGAAACGTTTAATAAATGCACGAGGCAAATCAGTGAAGCCCGTTTACCGTCAGATGTATCTCTGCATTTTACAGCTTAAACGGAGATGGAGACTTACATGTTACTCTGTTTTACGTTAAGATTTACTAGCATTCTTTTGATGGGATGAAGTCTGACAAAAGTATTCGTTGACGAAATTTACTCATCTTGTAGATGTTTTCTGCTAGCAGTATTAGCAAAGTAAATTTGAAATGCATATATAAATGTGTGAGAGGGCCGCTTTAATGTTGATATTTGATTCCGTGAAATACCAAATGTGTTTGCGTCACCATTACAACAAGCTTAGCGTGGGTTATCGTCAGGGGAAAATATTATCGAATCCCGTAAGTGTAGCTGCAGTCTAACCCACATGCTCTTCACCAGGACAGTGGCTGAGGCCCTCAAGCGTGGAGAGCCGGTGCTGCCCGAACACTTTGACAGTGTTACGCTGTGCTTCAGCGACATCGTCGGCTTCACCGCACTCAGCGCCACCTCCACGCCGCTGCAGGTGCTACAGCAGGCGGCAGCTGGCTTAAGTCTAGTCCCTGGGCGTCAGACCCATGTTACATACTGTCACCAGTGTCTGGGCGGCACAGAGACATCATAACATGAAGTGGCCTTCCGCGTTGGTTTTCGCTGATGTTAGAACTGATTCGTAGATGTTTAACGCACAGTTGTTGGTATTCTGGTATCAGCTAATTGCCTGCCCCGCTTCTCTTTAGATTATGATGTTTTCACTCTCGGGCTACGGACGGACGATCCAGACCGTGTCTTTCAAAACAAATTGTTATCTGCTGGATGCCTTTCGCTTATTACTTGTCACGAACCACTAAAATGTCAAGTAATGATGTGCCTTCCTCGGCAGGTGGTGGATTTGCTCAACGAACTATACACTTGCTTTGACTCGATTATCGGGAACTATGATGTCTACAAAGTGGAGACGATTGGCGACGCTTACGTCGCCGTCTCAGGTGAGAATAAGTGCCTCCAAAAACTGAACATCTGTCGGTGACTAGTGCTGACGGCACGGACTGACAAGCAGCTGGCATGTATAAATGATGTCATGTCCCTCAAACATGTCAGACCAAAACCTAGTTACCTGTGTACTTGTTCATCTGTGCCCGCTGCTGCACAGCGAATCTGAACGGTTTTCTGTGAACACGGCAGGGGTTTCAGCAATTTTATATTTCCGAAGTTTTTTAACTTTAGTTGACCAAACGTCTCAACCGACCTCCAAAATGCCTGACCGTCTCAACCGACCTCCAACTTGACCTCCAAAATGAAAGACGTAGCCTAACAAGATCTGATTAAACACGGCCCAAACTCCCAGGACACCTAAAGATCACATATCACATATCACACATGTGTATACATCATCAGCAATTCCTCTGCCCTGCCTGACCAGACAAAGTTGATCAGATGTACCCAAGCATATCTCTAAACATCGTCATAGGCACGCATTCTATATCGTAAATTGAATCTGACCTAACGAGATCGTGCGTCATGAATTAACAGGCTGGGCGTTACCTGACATAAGAGCCTGGCCCGTCACGTGCCCAGCCCTACCAACTCTGTCACGTCCCTGGCCTGACCTGGTCCGTCACGTGCCCAGCGTGACCTTTCGCGACCTGACTTAGTCTCTCAGGATTGCGAGCGGAGCGACTTGATAGGATCTTACTTGGCATGGCCTGACACTATCTTTCATGGACAGTATCACAGATCAATGTCGTCGATTCTCCCTGCCATGGACAGAATCACAGGTCATTGTCATCGACAATGTGTGGAATTTACCAGATTGATGGAGAAAGACCTATATGACCTAGTAGTGTGTCAGGGCTGCTGCAACCAGGCTCAACTTGGCATGGCGCGATCTGACCTTGCACGCGCCGACTGGCAGAAAAGTGCCTGACAGGTAAATCTGACGTCACTTGACCTTGTCTGACACAGTTGTCATTTACGTCCAGTGACAGACTGTGCCCCTTCTATGCTGACCTACTCGTTCGTGGCCCAACCTTGACCAGGTAGAACTGACCTGAACCTGTTGTCAGGGTTGCCAGTAACTCGACCGACCTGACCTGACCTGCCCCTCAGAGTTGCCAGTAGCCCTCTCTGATACGATCAACTCCACTTGATATACACGACGGTACCTGATTTAGCCGACGTGACGTGACGTGGCGTGACCTGACCTAACCAGACCTGGCCTGACCTGGCAGGGCTGCCAGTCCGGAACGGTGACAAGCACGCGCCTGAGATCGCCTCCATGGCGCTGCACCTGCTCCGACGGATCAGACGCTTTGAGATCCTGCACCGGCCAGGCGAGCTGCTCAAAGTCCGCATGGGAATACACACCGGTAAGGGTCCTAACACATGGCTGGGCGTGGAAACTCACATACCGGTAAGAGTCTCTGACACACAGCTGAACATGTAAATGTATACCGTTAAGGGACTCTGATACACAGCTGAGTATGGAAATTCACACACCGCTAAGGGGCTCCGGCACACAGCTGAACATGTAAATTCGCATAGCGGTAAGGGGCTGCGACACACTGTTAAGCATGGAAATGTAAACCGTTCGAGGGTTCCGACACACTGCTGGGCATGGAAATACATACCATTAAGTTGCTCCGACACACAGCTGAGCGTGGAAATACGTACTATTAAGTTGCTCCGACACACAGCTGAGCGTGGAAATATACACCGGTAAGGGGTTCCAACACACAGCATGGGAATTCACACCGATAGGGGGGTGCGATACACAGCAGGGTATACGAATTCACACGCTGTTAAGGGGCTCCGACACACAACTAAGTATGGAAATTCACACACCGGTAAGGGGCTCCGAAACACAGCTGAGCATGGGATTACACAACGGTAAGGAGCTCCGAAACACAGCTGAGCATGGGATTACACACCGGTAAGGGGCTCCGAAACACAGCTGAGCATGGGATTACACAACGGTAAGGGGCTCCGAAACACAGCTGAGCATGGGATACACACCGGTAAGGGGCTCCGAAACACAGCTGAGGCATGGGATTACACAACGGTAAGGGGCTCAGAAACCACAGCTGAGCATTGGATTACACACCGTAAGGGGCTCCGAAACACAGCTGAGCATGGGATTACACAACGGTAAGGGGCTCCGAAACACAGCTGAGCATGGGATTACACACCGGTAAGGGGCTCCGAAACACAGCTGAGCATGGGATTACACAACGGTAAGGGGCTCCGAAACACAGCTGAGCATGGGATTACACACCGGTAAGGAGCTCCGACATGGGCGCTGAGCATGGATGCACACACCGGTAACGGGTTACAAAAAAACAGGCAGGCACTGACAACAGTATACAGCATAAGTGAGTTCGCACAGATGGCATGACACGGAAGGTGGTAGGTGCTGGCAGTATGCTATGTCGCCCAACAGAAAAAAACGACGAAAAACGGTGTTAGGCCTGTTTTGTTGCCACCGATACCACACAGTCATGATCAGCAGAAAACGCCCATGTTTATCCATTATAGAACATATGGGTCTGTCTTCTTATTGTTTGACGAACTCTTGGTCAGCGGCCATGCCCCTACTGCAACGTACTTACCTCCTCCATTCTGATCTGCCTTTGTACGCGTCTAAACTTACATCTGTATGAATTAACCATGCCCTAGCACTGAGCCCTGCACTGGGCTGCTGCGAACCAGCACTGAGCCCCGCACTGGGCTACTGTGTAAGCAGCACTGAGCCCTCGCTAGGGAGCTCAACAATGAGCGCTGAGCGCTGGTCGGGTGGCCAGGACGGCGGCGTCTGTCGCAGTTGACGCGGCCGGTGGTGCCTGTCGCAGCTGGCGCGGACGGTGGCGCGGACGATGGTGTCTGTCGCAGCTGACGTGAACAGCGGTGTCTGTCGCAGCTGACGCGGACAGTGGTGTCTGTCGCAGCTGACGCGGATGGCGGCGTCTGTCGCAGCTGACGTATTGCAGCTGACCCATACAGCGGCGTCTGTCGCAGCTGACGCGGCCGATGGTGTCTGTCGCAGCTGACCCGGCCGGCGGTGTCTGTCGCAGCTGACCCGGCCGGCGGTGTCTGTCGCAGCTGACCCGGATGCGGTGTCTGTCGCAGCTGACCCGGCCGGCGGTGTCTGCCGCAGCTGACCCGGCCGGCGGTGTCTGCCGCAGCTGACCCGGCCGGCGGTGTCTGTCGCAGCTGACCCGGCCGGCGGTGTCTGTCGCAGCTGACGCGGACGGCAGCGCCTGCCGCAGCTGACCCGGCCGGCGGTGTCTGTCGCAGCTGACCCGGCCGGCGGTGTCTGTCGCAGCTGACCCGGCCGGCGGTGTCTGCCGCAGCTGACCCGGCCGGCGGTGTCTGCCGCAGCTGACCCGGCCGGCGGTGTCTGTCGCAGCTGACCCGGATGCGGTGTCTGCCGCAGCTGACCCTGCCGGCGGTGTCTGCCGCAGCTGACCCGGCCGGCGGTGTCTGCCACAGCTGACCCGGCCGGCGGTGTCTGCCACAGCTGACCCGGCCGGCGGTGTCTGCCGCAGCTGACCCGGCCGGCGGTGTCTGCCGCAGCTGACCCGGCCGGCGGTGTCTGCCGCAGGTCCGGTGGTGGCTGGGGTCGTCGGGCTCAAGATGCCTCGCTACTGCCTGTTCGGTGACACGGTCAACACGTGCTCCCGCATGGAGAGCACGTCCGAGGCCCTGCAGATCCATGTCTCGGCCTCGCACGCCGCCATGCTGCAGAAGCTCGGCGGCTACGTGCTCGAGTATCGTGGCGAGATCAGCGTCAAGGTCGGTGGGTGGGCTTCTGGGCGGGTAATGCGGGATCGAGACCCAGGCTGGGTGAAACTTTTTGTCGGTGGCGGCCATACGACCGCCGTAAGAATCTCTGGTGCTAATGAGCTCACCTATTGTATCAGCTTAGACGCTGCATCAGGCAGTCAACAATGTAATGATTATTAGCCAGGGATCTGGCCAGAGACATAGCGTGTACCGGGATTGCTGGAGTAAAATTCTCCGACGCAGACGTTTTATTGTATATTAATTATTGGTGGACACGTAGAGTGGTTAAGAACGACATAACCATTAACATTATATGGAGATCAGTTTTAATATTTATCGAACTCGTCGCGGCCTCTAATGGAACTGCGCCGTTCAGCTTCCGACCAAAGTTATCGTGACACATTTGTACATTAAGTTACAGGGTGCAGGCCATTGCCACAGTTTATATTCGTCTTTGCTGAGACAAAGCACGACATGCGTGGTCATGACGTAGAAGCCGTCAGACTCATGGGGTTCTCTCCCTGCGCGCACACTAGGGCAAAGGTCAGATGCAGACCTACTGGCTGATTGATGAGGAACAGGGAGTCGGTCGGCCGCACCGGACACTCGTGACCTCGGCTGACCCCGCCGCCGAGGGCAGTGACCTTCGACCCGCCCCATCCAACGAGCTTGGTGAGTTGGCCCGGGTGTGGATGGAAGGCGCGAGGGTTAGGAGCTCAAGGAAGCTGCTACTCGTGCTGTCAGTTTGGTTCTCAAACGGTAGCCCATGATGAGGATGAGACAGACAAGAGGCCCTTGGCTTATATTTTGTTCCTACCCACTCTTGCTTTCGGAGCAATATATATATATATATATATATATATATATATATATATATATATATATATATATATATATATATACCGTATGAGCTAAAGTTGTTCAGAGTGAATTATTTTAGCCTTCCAGAGGTGTTTTTTTCACAGTCCGGTGCCATATACTATCTGTTACACATTCCTAATGTTGAGTCTCTGTTCGTTTCCGGGCGAACACCTTTTTGCACTATGCACATTTTCGAAACAGTTTTTAGTTGTTGTTCATTAACTTCATGTTGAGTGTCTCATTTCTCCTATTTGTCTTCAAAGCACAATAAGTAGAACATAACGTCACATTGTTTTTGGCGTTGCTCTAAAATTGCAACACAGTGATAGCTACTACACTGTAAGGTCCCGGTCTCGCAGAGAACCCCATGTCGGGCTGTCTGGTGCGACTTCCGCCATCGCCGGCGCTCGTGCCACCCTCGCCCACGTGCAAGCTGGAGCCGGCGCGGCACGTGCCTTGCACCACGTGCCGCCACGGGCGCGACGCCGACTCCAAGTGGCGGGAGAAGGTCATGAACGGCGACGCTGGCAGCCTGTGCCGTGAGCGTAGCTGGAGCTTCAACCTCTTCGATAACGCCCACCAGGTGCTTAGCAGCCGCGGCGGCGTGGCAGCCGCAGCACCCGTGGCCGGCAGCATCGATACGCTGCCCGCGATCACCTGGCCTGTGATTCGGCTGTTGCTGCTGTTTGAATAGCCGTGCGGTTGCCGGCATGCGACTTATCGCTAAGAAATCGCTAAATTATACCCGATACTGATATGGGAAGACGGCGCTTTCTATTCGCGCACAGAAGACGCATAATGAACTCCCGGACTATCTATGACTTCTCCCGATTGTCTCTTTGCCAAAGCAGTCAAGGATACATTTCATGGGACATCTGAGGATGTTGTTACCTGTTTGTGCGGTGGAGTTGTGACTGGTGTGCATTTGTGTGGAATTCAGCGTTGTTGGATTCCACAGTCTGTGTCCGCATGACATATAAGTCGTCCATTTATCTGCTGGCATGGATTGTAAAATCCCGGAGTTGATTCGAGATTGCCCAAAGACACGCCAATATCAATGAAATACTGTACCTAGCTGTACAGCTTGAGAGCTAATCCATGTCTGCCAGATGTGTGTCTGCCCTGCGGTGATCACCCCGTATGGTAGGCGGGGCCTGAGAGAAGCGCAATAGAGTGCTTCTGGTGCTGACCTTTGCCCGCGGAAGCCAAGCTAGCGCGACCCTTTTACCTGACCGTGGACTGACCGTCAACGCACGACTGTACTCTTCGACACGTGACAGACTGTAAACTGATCCTGGATCGCCATTTGGCTGCCCCGTCATTGGCCTACATCTAGCGTAGGTGTGAATAACGTCATATCACCAGCGGTGGTCCACCAGTATCAGCAGTCTACAGGTCATAGGTCAGATGGTCGGTCTGTGGCGGACCTCCCCCTCCCCTAATCCCGATCCGTGACCTGTGACCTCACTGACCGGCGCCCGTATCCTTGCGTCGCTCTGCCGCGTCAGGTGTACAAGACCAGCGCCACGAAGCAGAGCCTGATCGCCAAGCTGACCAAGAAGCCGTTTGCCCGCCACTGCGGCGTGTCGGAGGTGCTTGGGGCGGACAGCAGCTCTCTTCGGGCGCTGCTCTCGCCCAGCGAGGAGCCCGCCAACTGGCTAGGGACCGCTCGCAGGGATCACGGCGATGACGTCATCGAGGTGGGCATGTGTGACCTGCGAGCCGGTGTACTTTGTTACCGGCAAAACGTTCGTTGTAGTTCCGTCTGTAATTGCATGGAACACGCCTGGTGTCGCGTGATACTGCATCGGTCGAATGCAATCCTTCTCTAACAAACACTTCAAACAAGTGTTGGTAAAGTAAAGATAAGCTTCTAAACATAAAGTAACCTAAAAGTAAATTTCATCTGCCTTCTCGAACATGCTCGCTCCAGCAATACGCATGCATACAGGCCACTTGCATTAAACATCTTCAATTACTGAAGTTTCTTTACGCGTAAAGCAAACGTAAGCTTCTGAACTAAAAGAAACTAAAAGTAAACTTCCGCTGTCTTCTCGAGCATGCCCGCTCCAGAAATTCTTCTACATGCAGGCCACTTGTATTTAACATCTTCAGTCGCTTAAGTTTTTATGTCAAGCATTAGAACAGTTAACTTAACGCCGTCATGCCTAAGGTAAAAATGTTGCAGGTAAAAAAATAGTCCGCTTAGTTTTTTCTTTCCGATATGTTTTACAGCCCGGCTGCCTACAGCCTTGATGTGGTTCCGGAGCGCGTCAGGAGCAGCAGCATGCATTTTACTCCCTGAGTTCAATAAATATGACAGCTCATGCAATTTTTCTCGTGGCGGATGACGAATGGTCTAGGGTTGACGGCTCTTTGCAGAATCGAGGCACTTTTAAAGCATGCATAGCAACTCTGTAAGCAGTTGAGACATTGACAACTGGACGTCAAGGTCCGGCTCCTGACCACACGCTGTGGGACGTGCATGGGTGCGATGCAGCGCTTGCTAGCTCTGACATGTATCGGATAGTCTCGCAGGGAGCAAAGTAGCCTGGATATTCCGCCGCGATCTGCATCGTCCGAAATGCTCACACTTTTATGTTTCTTTTCTTTAGCTTATTTGTTTTTCTTGCGTCCGAAATTATGAACAGAAACTCAACCCACCATGAACCAACCCGGCAGCCGCGTAATACGCATGACTTTTGTTTACAAGTAACTAAAAATGAAATGGAATTCTCGTACGCATTACTTTCCCACGGTATCGTGATGAACTCATGACCTAGGCCAGGAGCCAATAATTCAACGACCTAAAATTGACAATGGGAAATAATACACATAGAGGCATAAATAAGTGCCGGTACAAGGCTGCCATCCGTACCAATGCATGCCTTTCGTACTTTGGAAAACGACGATAGCCGCATTTGCTGTAGACATACGCGATTCCCATCGTGTTGTTTGTATGCTGCCTACACAAAATGTCCATCAGAGACAACTTCTGCTTCTTAATCAGGATCAATTGAAATTGACCAGGATTAATTAGCATTGATCAGGATTATTCAATCTAAATGATTTATTGAGAAGTGTATCGATCGCAAACAAAAGACGGCAGAATACGTATTAAAAATTAAGCCCTACATTTCACGACATTTCCGTCTGCATGCAGCTGTTCGCGAAAGCGGTGTGACAAGGATACAGTTAGAAGCTATGTGTATCTTTTTAGTCAGAGCATTGTCATTGTCACCCATGCTTACGACGATTACATCAAAAAAAACGAGTGGCCTAATGCTCACCTTATTCGGAGTATTGCTCTAATCGTGTATCATCTCCACGCATCTAAAGCGGTACACAGGGTGACATTATCAAGCAACCTTGGTTGCTTGATGAAAAAGGCTGCAGCCTCTTAGTCTGTGGATTGTGAGGTCGTTGGATTTGAAATTGTACCTCCTCGGGTTACCTGAAACGTGTTTTTCGTCTTTGTCGTTGATGGTGTGACTGTGTCTGGAAGATCAACAAGGTTTGCATTGTGTAGCGGTTATTTATTTCTCACGCGAGTTTTACGAAGTGCTTGAGATTGCGCTCAGATGGCTGACGCTGAACTTTTTTTCCAGCGGTTATAGCGAGCGTGACGGTTAACAGTCTAACGTACTGAAGTCTGTTTATTACCAGTGCGCTCTTCCACAAATCACGTCGCATCCGCTGTCCTCAGCTGTCCCGCTTCAGCTGTTCAATAGAGCAGAGTATGGTATGAAAGCCGGTGACACCGTCCGGCGCGATGTTCCTGCTCGCAGCTGCACCAGCCAGCTGCTGACCTGGTCCCTGCTCTGACCCGACAGCTGCACGAACATCGCACTCCGCTGTCGCTGCTGGCGCCGCCGCGAGCCCCGGCCCCCGCCGCAGCCCCGGCCCCCGCGCCGGCCCCTGCGCCGCCCAAGGCGCCCCTGCTCCGCGAGTCAGTGCTGACTGTGGCGGACAAGGTGGGAGCCCTGTGCGGCTCCAGCCCCTCCATCTCCCTCATCAGAACGGACGTCATCTGAAATGGCGGCAGCGTTGGGTGAACCGGCCGACATTTTTGGCTCCCTTGGCGAGGCTAACACCATCTGAATCACTGACTCCGGCGTTCTTGGTGGGACGGAGTGTCGTGCCCAGTGACACTGTTTTCTCTCCCATGAGGAGCCACACCACTTGAAATCGCAGTGTCGGGGAGCGAGTGGCGCCCTCTTCGTGCTCCTTCCAAGTCGCGGCGTCGGTATTTCCCGGAGCTGCATATCTTCAGCCCCCGCCGCACGTCCCAGCGTTGTGATCGGACCTTTCCTCTGCATTGCGTGATGTAAATGTCAGTTATTTTCCACGGCCTTTCCAATCAGAACGGTGACCAAGAGTGTGCTTTGCATATGCTGCTCGACACCTATGTGACTGTTCTCACAGTTCCATGTGTCTGCGTGTAGCCTACATCGCGATATGTGCTTGGAAGAATGTGTGCCTGGATCTCAAGGAGTGTCTCATGGGTGTTGAAGGACCATCAGGCCGATTCATTCAGTTTTTCTCTAGATGTTGGACAACTGTAGCCTTGATATTATAAATTTTTTAATGTTCTAATCGCTAAATGCTTGACTTTTAAAGACAGGCGAAGTTTATGCCAAGAGCCGGGATTGCATGCAAAGTTTATGGTGTAATTGTTTCAACGGACGTATACTACTAGACCACGACCATTATTTCGAGATGTATTTTTGAAATTCATTAACATTGCTGTGTTCGTGATTTATGTTGTGATTGCGGTTAAGTAGTTTTGGTACTTTGTAAGAGCCTGTTGCGTAGTCAGTTGTTAGCCTATCTTCTCACGCGTGCTATTGACATTATTCTTGCATGGATGACTTTCACGCCCCCTCCCTCTTGTCAGTTCCTCCTGCTCCTGAAACGTTTTCAATGAAGTCATTGAACTATGACATCCCATTTATTTATGTCTATTGCACTAGCCTTCATAATTCCTGCGTTTTAGGTACATCATTATTTCTGGGTTGCGAGTGACAACGCTTCTAGAGCCCAGCGGAGTTTTGTTTAAGTCACTAACGATAGTTTTCAAATCAAGCCATCGAAGTGAATTGTACTGTTTGTAACAGAAGAAAATACCATTGGTTTTATCGGAGGCGTTTAAGGTATGCCTCACGAAGCAGATCAATCAATGGCGAAGACGAGGAGAATATGGCATGTGATGGCCAAGCGCCATTGTCCTGTCGTATCACTGCTAATTATCCGAATAATGTTTAAGCCAGTCCTGTGCATTGTTGAGGGTTCCAAAGGGTGACAAAGGTACACGTTTGTAGATTTTATGGCTGAATTGCTTTGCTAGCCGAAATAGGATATTAACTTCGGTTGCAGTAGGTCGAACAGTGTACAAAATTTATATATTACTCATGAAACAGTTATGTTTTCATTGATAGGTAGTGAAGTGTCTCTGGTGTTAAGTGGAATGGCTGATGAAAATGTAAAAGTTTCCTATTTGTTACTCACATCACCGACACACTGAATTTTTGGTTTGCCAATCTATAATATAGAACAATATAATGCCAGCCTACTAGACAGACCACGGTATGTATTACATCTTGCTGCAGGAACACCTGCCTTTCCAGTTGGGCGATTCTGGGAGGCTGAGGCAGTCCTACCACTTTTCTAGAGTCCGCGTGATATGAGGTCGAAAGATCGGTCGACTTCAGTTTCTGTTTCGCTGGCTGCTTTATCCAATGAAGCAGTCAGGATGTTTAGCATATAACTCACTTCTCTGTTCGGGCTAACTGTACAACTTCTTCGACGTAGATTATTTAGGAAGTGTTGATGTTCAAAAACAAGGTTGCAGAATATTTGGAGATGATTGTGTTCGCGGCGGGGAAATCTTGGTGACTGCATGAGGTCACTGCGTGTTTTGTGGTCACAGCTGGTGCCAAGGGCCGTTCAGGATATACGCTTCGGGAGGGGGCAGCACGTGAGATATTAAGACCACTCTCGCGCGGCAGACTTTTACGAGAGCGGAGAGCGATTGGCCATGTGGTGAAGTGAAGCAAACGTCACTCTGCCTATCCAGTTCGCGTGTGATAATAGCACGGGTCAGCCTCCAACAGCGCGTCGCGTGTGATGTGGCGCCATTGGTGCGAGGTGGGCAACTGCCGTCACTTGGCGAATGTGATGCTGCACGCGATTGCTGGTTCGAGGGGTGACCGAGATGCTGTACCCACCAGCCCTGCTCCCGCTACGCCGCCGCTTTTCGTTTTCGGCAGCCACTGTGGACCCTGACTCTGATGTAGTTGTGGTTGCGTCTAACATTGAAACAGGGTTTTTTTTTCGTCAGCGTGGTTCGATGTAGGTATCGCTCTTGATCTCAAGGGCACGGGTCACCATTTGGTTCAGATAAAGCGTAAAGGACCGCATTAGGGAGATCGCTTTTTCACTGGTGAGACTATGACAGACTTTTTCAGAGGGTAGCGCAGAGTCTGAGGGACAAACTGAGAGGCAATGTGACATCGCCCTGTTTTCAAGCGCGATAAGGTGCCGTAACACGGCTGATGTAGTCTCGTTTAGCATCATTTTTATCATTTCCATGTGTTTAATGAACTTGATTGACTAATAAGCTACTTCCCGCCATGTTTCATAAAACGAGGCAGTGTTTACCCCATGATGCACAACTAAAATCAGATCCAAGAGTCGTTAGTTATCATTCCCGGGTTCTGCTAATGTGATTCAGGGCACGTGAGTACTAATTATTAGACATTCCAGAACCGCTTACACCATGTTGAATTAGTAATGTATCGATTTATGAAAATCGTTGAAGTATATGTGTATCTGAGTCCATAGCGTCTCTGATGATACACGGGAATATCCTCGTATAAAGGTGAGCGGCATCGTTGACAGCGCAAATGTATATGTTTTATGTTGAAAATATGTATAAGTTTGGAAATAAAGGCACGACCATAGAGTCTGTGCATGGACGACCAGTGTCTATTTGAGAGGGGGTTCAGCCTCAGGCATACCTCCGCTTCTTGAAACGCGCACGGATATGGGTCAATTTGACCCTATTCCGAGAGTTTTTTTCCAGAACAGCTTTCTACCGTGCGACGTAGCCGAGCCAAACTGGTTAGCTATGAGCAAGGCAACAGGCGATCTTTTGTTTTGAATAGATGTATATATATATATATATATATATATATATACATATATATGCATGCACGTATACACAATCTATATATATATATATATATATATATATATATATATATATATATATATATATATATATATATACTTTGCAGGGTTCTTGACCAAATCAGGCCATACCCAGACGGTGCCTGTCAGCGGATTCCTAGAAGTCCAACGCGGTTAGCCGTCATACTAATTTCTATCATCTAATGTGCAAACAGAGCAATGTTTATAATATGTTTAAAAAACGTACGAGCACTTAAGGAAGCAAGCACACTGATACAATTACCATCAACCGTGGGAAAATGCATCCCGGTTGCACTTAAATCAATGACCAGGGCTGCTCAAGCATCCCACGTCATCCCATAAGGGATAAACGCGGTGCGGAACATGAATTGTACGACTTACTGGTCACAAAACCTGCGGTGATGAACACAACCAAGAATACGAACACGCTTGTCTACTTTTTCGTTTTGACATCAACTGACATGAGCAAATGATCAGTGACATAACATTGCATAAATCCCTATACGCAATTACTTTTGACATGATGATGGCTAAACACCATGACGCTGAAAACATATTTGGCTCTCTATCTACGTGGCGATGTCGATAAGAGTGCGGTCTTCATTTATAACCTGCTCCAGAATCCCGTTGGGTTTAATGTCACGATCACAGTTGCCAATGCCGTGAACCGATCGCCCGTTTATCCCATACTGGCCGGTCGGCTGCTGGCGCGCCGCTACGCATGATCCGCCAATGTTCAAAATCGATTTGTGACCGATCTGTGAGAGGCCCCGTTGATTTCGTTTTAAGGCTAAACGGCAATACGGTCCTCGATTGCGGGTCAGTTTAAAGAAACTCTAAGACACCATCACTCCAGAAAATAAAGTCGAAGGTCAAACTAGGTCACTGTATGAGCATAGGTAGCCTTGAATATTGCATTGATCCATGTGTCAGAAATGTCTCAGAGAAAAGAAATACTAGGGTTTCCAATGCACATTATCCAAACCTTTCACGCTGCAAACTGTTCATTCGCTAGCGCAAATTAAAACATAGGGTTGGTGACGTCATTGCGTATGTCCATGAGCTCTTGGTTCGTTATCGCCACCCCATACGGCTATAAATATTTCATAATCGTATTTTGGCGGTGAAATTACCTGGTATAGCTGACCTCGTCAAATCTGAATCATGCTGTGCTGCAGTACACCTGTCACGGTCGATTTGCCGTGGATAAACCGTGGGTTGAAGATTGTTTTTGAGTTGATGTCTTCATTGAACATTTGAGGGACTACTTAGCGATAATTTCCATTGTATTGGCTTTCAATCCATTTACTCCGCGTGAGCTGGCATATTTTAAGACCTGGTCGGGTCCTAACCAATGTTTCGGTGTAAAATTCTGATCTGATCCGCAAGCCGATCCGATCCGATCCGATCCGATCTGATCCGATCCGCGAGCTGATCCAGCCCATGCAGCGCTCTAGCTGGCGTCGACATAACACTGCGACCAGCCACATGATATTGATGCACATCTCAAAGATTCACACACTTCGTGGTAAGCTTTACTAGCCTTCAATGGCTGCGTCAATGTGTCTTTGATGATTGTGTCAAATGTGTCAATGATTTCTTGCTACAAGGTGCACCTTAGAATGACGATGGCGAGAGTCATGATCGCGATAAATATGAATCATGATTCAGTCATGAATCACGGGATCTTGACCCCGCGATCCGGGCTCGCACTTCCGTGGCCGAGCTCGCTCCTGCCACCGACCCAGAGCTTGTGTCCACGACTCCCGTGGCTTCGACATACCCACTCGTTGACAGGACTGCATTAATATTCGAAGCGCGGACAGCGGCGTGCCTTTCCGGTTTTTTCGGACCGGCGCGTCAAAGAAGGACATCTGCCAAGGGCCGGCAGGATAAGAGGTATGGGCGCACGGCACCCGATGGGCGGCGCGAGAGGAAAACAACACAACTATCTCACCCCCACCCACCCCCAGATCCTCGCCGCGGATCTGGTGATGGGCTGATCAGCGGCGCTAAGCGGGGCCTGGGTCAGAGTGGGCTCGCAGAACCCGCCCGCTGCAGGAGTGGGCGGGCCCTGCACCGCCGCCGGCGACGCGCCGCCCCAGTTCCGGCCACGGGGCAGGTTGGGGGGGGGGGGGGCGAAGCTCCGGAAGATAGATACGCCGGCCCGACCACACATGGGATGGAGGGGAGATCGCGGCAAAACCATTAGGCTGTGCGAGAGAAGAGGACGGACCGACCTAGTTTCAAGACATCAGGAACAACTAAAGCACATGGAAAAGGTCTAATGGGGCTAGCAGGAGCCCTCAGAGGCTTGATGCTAGAGGCGAGTCAAGGAGTTTCCACGGCAGATGAGCACGGTGCATCAGCAGCTGACGGCTCTGCACCGCGGGCAGGACGGCACCGACGCTGACCGCCTAACGATGACCTGAGGCTCTTCCGGCGACGGAACGTCGGCGCCGACACACACAATGTGGGTCCGCGGAGCTGTCGCCCTTCATCGCAGCATGACCGCTGCCGCTGTACGCCCCAAGTGCATTCCAGGACCCCTCCCCACCGGGCGGTGCAAACCACGTCAACCTCCTCCCTCTGGCGTGAATGGGGATGGGGGGGGGGGGCCTGCCACTGCGTCTCGGGGCGAGAGGTGAGACCCCCTGAACTAAGTAGGTAGGGGGGAGGCGATCTGTCCCGCGTGGTGACATGAGACGTGGGCGTTAGGACAGGACATCACGATCTGTCCCGCGTGGTGACATGAGACGTGAGTGTGAGGACAGGACATCGCGATCTGTCCCGCGTGGTGACATGAGACGTGGGCGTGAGGACAGGATATTGTGGTATATCCCGCGCGCAGGCCCGTGGTTAAAGGCGCACAACCATATTCAGGAAGACAGCCGTTCATGGTGCTTGATCGGACCTTCCGGTCCGTCAATACCCCAGTCGCCCGCGTCCTCCATGCTCTGTGGCTGATATGAGTATGTGTTAGTGTGGGGTCTACCGGAGCCATAACGTGCCAAGTCGTGAGTTCACATAAAAAGTGAGTTAATAATAACAAGTCGTAATAGTGAGTAAATAAGTCGTGCGTTAACATAGTAAGCCATGTATTAACGTCCGGCTCGTATGCTGACCAATGGGCTCCTCAGTATAAAGCTGCTCTAGTGGGGAGTAGTGACAGCAGCAGCCGCCGATGCACAAACACCAGCGGCAGCCACACGGCAGCACAGAGCACACACATCTCACGTAGACTCCCCCCCCCCCCCACACACACACATTAACACCTGCACGCGATTTGTTCTTCAGGTCAAACGGCTGTACAAAGCTCTTCAGCCTGGCACAAAAATTATGTTTATGTTTATATGTTTATGTTTATAACATGTTTCTAACAGCTTAACAAGTTGACGTGCGTTGTTCGTGATGATGGCGTTGTTCGTGATGATGGCAACTGTCTCGCACCGTACTGACCTTAGTAGCGATTAAGGTCACGCAAACGTTGGTTTCTGTTCTTCTGTGACTAATTTTAACCTATTTGGTCATTGAGCATTTCATCGTGGCATTCGCTGGAAGGAGCACAACTGCGGGTCTCCATTTTCCCGACCTCCCGACAATGAAGCTCTGCGTACACTGGCCCTCTCCTGGGCCTTACCCGAAGCCGGCACCGACCGTCTCCTGGGCCTTACCCGAAGCCGGCATTGACCGTCTTTTGGGCCTTACCCGAAGCCGGCACCGACCGTCTCCTGGGCCTTCCCGAAGCCGGTACCGACCGTCTCCTGGGCCTTACCCGAAGCCGGTACCGACCGTCTCCTGGGCCTTACCCGAAGCCGGTACCGACCGTCTCCTGGGCCTTCCCGAAGCCGGTACCGACCGTCTCCTGGGCCTTACCCGAAGCCGGTACCGACCGTCTCCTGGGCCTTCCCGAAGCCGGTACCGACCGTCTCCTGGGCCTTCCCGAAGCCGGTACCGACCGTCTCCTGGGCATTACCCGAAGCCGGTACCGACCGTCTCCTGGGCCTTACCCGAAGCCAGCACTGGCCGTCTTTTGGGCCTTCACCCAAGCCGACGTCGAATTAGACGCGCGCTGTTTTAAGTTATATGCCTGCAGTTCCAGGCATTCTGAGCCAGCGAACAGAATGGCTTCTCCGCCTCAAGGCTAGATTTGAAAGCAAGAGAGAAGCTTCGGACCAGTTGTTCCTTTCTCCTCAAGTTGAGCTCCAGCTCAGCCATATATATTAGTCATCGATGTGCTGTGAGGACTACGGGCGCACAACGTCGCCATCTACGGGACTCGTGGAGGACGACTGCCACGTAAGGTCGACTTATACGCACTAGTCATTCAGACACAGTTCTGAGTCGCGGAAGAATGTCAGTGACTGAATACTGAAAGGAATGGCTTCCAGGCCACGGTCATTGTTGGCATTGCAAACAGTGGACAGCTGAGCGCGTGGACTATAACGTTAACGCAGCAAGCTCTCTTACAGGAAGTAGTGGTCGCAATTGATGTTGTTTCACCCGTTGGTGTGTCCGGGAACGGATACACACCTGAAGTATCATATATAAGGTGAGAAGGGTGTTCTAGTCATTCAGAAGGCTCATTGGATGAGCGTCGCCCTGCCCTTGAGAACCGGGGGCCGCTGAAACTGTCCCAATGTGTTGGTCTGTCGCATCTAACCTGGAGTTTGAGAATGCTAGATAATGTGATCCTGATTCAAGGTTATTGAAACCAGAAGCGATTTTGGCCGCTGCGATGTGGGGGTACTTGTAACTATTGGGTAAAACAATTGTGATATGAGCAGCAACATGAAGAACATTGTTTTGATGTATTTTGATCCTCATGCAAAATTGCATTCCTAGTGGGCAACAACCTGCGTTCAGTATCAAAGTGCTAGCCGGTCTATGACAGCAAAGTGCATATTATCTCCAACAAAAATCAAGAACTTGATCCACGGGTGGCACCGGCGATGGACGGTGACCCACGCTGCCGTGGAACGCGCGCAACGTACCGACATCGTCACATTAACGAGTTCCTACATCACAAACATGGTGTGGTTCATCACATTTAGAGTGATAATGCTACGGTTTCTGATAGATATGGCTTCGGGCGGCAATTTATACTGTTTCAAATTTCGTTGGCGACACAAAATACACAGCATTCACTCCAGGTAAGTGACCTGGTTATGTCAGCACTCTTCTTAGGGTGATCACCTAAACGGCACGCCTCCTGGATGTGCGCCCTTGGTTTGCACAGATCTGTTACCACATCACCATTTCGAATGCATATTAATTATAATGGAAGTCCATCCCGCACCTCAGCTGCCAGACTGCCAGTGCTTAAGCCATGTATGGCGGACAACTCACGAGTTTGCATTCTTGAAGCCACGCCTATTCGATTGGAGACCGTTACTGCACAATACATGGACAATTGGCCGAGAGAACCGAAAAAACACGAAGTGTTCTTGTCGCTGTTACATGATCCACCGAAGAAAAAGGTCACACAAACTGCTCACTCACGTATAATTGGTTTATTACATGGAAGCGGTGGTGTGACGGCCATCGTAGCAAGCTGCGCTCATTGCTTACGCAGGACTGCGGTCTCCGTCCTCCCTGGGAAAAGGGAGATCACCCCTCCGCCCATGAAGATTACACCTCTTCCCATGAAGATCACACCTCCTCTCCGCAGGAATGCGGCCAAATTTCCAACGTCAAAGACTGCGGACGCGTGTACGATAGAGTCAGCAGCTACGTAGGTCGATAAGACGATGGTGCGGCGGAGCAAGAAAATGCATGCACACGCAAGCCACCGACTGGGCTGACATAATGGCCGATCCCATACGCTGCCAGCCAGTGCCCGGTCAAAGCGTCATAGACGCTATGACCGCGCACTTGCATAAAACTAGTCTAAATCTTAGCTTACTTCACAGTTATGTTGTCAGCATAAACCCATGACGACTTTCTGCTGCTCGGAGGTCACACAGCTGTTGTTCTTTTTTGTCTTTTGCACGATTGCTGGACTGCACGCTCTCTCGCTGCACGTTCGCTGGACTGTGACCCCGCAATGGACTCCCTTGCTGGCGCTATCTCGTTCGCTTGATCACCGCGGTCAGTCCAGCTCGACGCTGCAATGCGCCCCCATCACCGTCCTTACACATTTTCCGATCTTGCGTGAGAGCATGCTCCCTTTTGAAGATGAGGTCTGTCTTCTTCGGGAAGCCAGCCTTCCAGTGAAGCAGTCGCGTATACCTCATTTGGCATACATTCCACCATCCGCCTCACCAGCGCCTCCGTCCACATATTGCCCTCAACCGTCCAGCGTCTCTCTGCACCACATCCGAACACAAGCTGGGAGTTCATCGTCCAGCATGCTCATACCACGGCAAGTCAGTCTCCCCGGTGCCGGCAGGCTCCGATGCAACCATCTCGTCCGACAGTTGGTGCGACAAAGCCCTCAGCTCCTTGGCATCCACCCTCGAGGTGGGCGCGTGGCGCCTGCAACACGACGTGTTCGTTGGTTGAATGGTCAGCTCGGCTCAGTTCTGTGTCCTGTCATGTCGAATATTCAGTTATGTGTCCTGTCACGTCGACTGTTCAGTTATGTGTCCTGTCACGTCGGCTGTTCAGTTCCTTGTCCTGTCATGTCGGCTGTTCAGTTCCGTACCCTGTCATGTCGACTGTTCGGCTCTGTGTTCTGTTACGTCGACCGTGCCATGATATGTCCTGTCATGTCGACTGTTGAGTAATGTATCCTGTCATATCGGCTGCTCAGTGATGATATCATATCATATCACAGACCACCTTTCTTCGCTACTTGCATATGCGCTTTGGTTTCAAAGCATGTGCGTGACGCAGGAGACACGCTAAGATAAAATTGGAAAATTGTCCACCGTTAAATACAAGCATCGGAACGTTATGTCACTGTCTATCTATGATGAGCGTTTTCAGAGCGCAAGTAAAGGGGTAAGAGCGAAGCAGAAAAGTTATCTCAGCCTCGCGTAGCGCCTGAAATATTCAGGCAAAGTCCCTGCGGCCATGATTGGACGAACGCGACATTATAGGCAATATGGGGCTGTACACCAGCGAACGTAACATTACAGGCCATCTCCACATCCCGGCATCCGGAGATTGTCCCGACAGCATCACCAGCCTTTCCAGTGGTTATTTGATATCACCGGTCCAGCTTGCCTGCTTGACCGGCCCACATCAGCAGACACCACGTCTCGGCGATCAGACACACCTGGCCGACCATCCAGCGCCTTCGCAAGGCAGCCGTACCCCTCACACCCCCGCCCACACGCACCTGGGCCTGCGAGCGCAGCGAGCGGCCGCCACCTCTGCGGAGAGCACGAGCAGGCTGGTGTGCCCCTCACGCCCCCGCCGACACGCACCTGGGCCAGAGAGCACAGCGAGCGGCCGCCACCTCTGCGGAGAGCACGAGCAGGCTGGCGTGCCTCTCACACCCCCGCCGACACGCACCTGGGCCAGCGAGCACAGCGAGCGGCCGCCACCTCTGCGGAGAGCACGAGCAGGCTGGTGTGCCCCTCACGCCCCCGCCGACACGCACCTGGGCCAGCGAGCACAGCGAGCGGCCGCCACCTCTGCGGAGAGCACGAGCAGGCTGGCGGTGGCGCCCAGTAGGAGCACGGCGAACGCGCCCATGGTGTGCAGCAGTGACGCCTGCACGGTGAGGTCACTGGAGCACACCCTGCTCGAGTCCAGCACGTTCCGGTACAGCTTCTCCACCACGCCGCCCTCGTTGAGCAGATGAATCCTGCGTAGCGTCCAAGGTCGGGACCGAGGTTACCGAGGGCGGGGACGTCTCTCGAGTGCTCTGTTATGGAGTGCAGAGGGAGTTTACCAAGCTCGCGGGGAGTCACTGAGGGTGAAGGTTGACCGGCGACGTATGAGAAAACTTTTGCGTGGATGATGCTGGGAAAGCCGTGAGGAATGTCAGAGAGGAGATGGCAGCCTGATGTTTCAAGAGTGCCGCCAAAAGCAGCCTTCGTGCGGTTCTGTTGGACATTTAGAAAGTCCAGCAGCTGTTTAAGACAGCAGATAGACGTGAGGCCATATCAGAATTGTCTGAGCCCAAGTGAGGTAGGCGAACAGGACGATATCGGTGAGGCCGCCTCAAATATTTTGACTTCTGTGTGTATATATATATACATATATATATATATATATATATATATATATATATATATATATATATATATATATATCAAGTGAACACGTATCACATTCAGATGGCATGTTATGTCTACTGAACGAGAAAGATACCTCACGGAAAAGTTTGATTTCGTCTTGATTATAAGTTCAATACTGACGTTGAATGAAGGCCGAACCTTCGAGTTGTTGATCGCATTTCTAACTAAAAGAAAGCTGGAGGAGGGGGAGGAGAGGCTAAATGCTACAGAATAACAACGAAGAAAACTCTGCTTCTCATCAAACAAAAGTATACGTGTCTGTACAACTGCGGCACACACACATGCATGCCAAACAATCGACAGTGACAATGACAAGACAGTTAAGACAATTGTATGGTGTCTAAAATAAGACAGAAGACATTGATAGTACAGGCAGTTAGGAAAGCAAAACGAATCATAGTTAGAGATCAGCCCGACGGGCCGTCAACAGCCACACCCAGCCCCACCTCTAAACCTAACAAAAGGCCGGTCAAGCCGAAACCAGACATTCTTGCCGTGAACATCGGCTTAATCAAACACTTCCATATCGCCAGAGCTCAACTGCTCCCGTAGGCCACGTCGCGTTACTGAGACAGACACCAAGAATAGTTCTCCATGGACAGCTGTGAGTTCTGCCGCATCGAACACCTCCGCGGCGATCACGTTCAAAGCATCTGGTCAGCAAAGTTTCAAACATCTCGGAGAACGTCCATATTGTCTATTTTTGTACTGAATTGCCCAGCGCTAGTCGGATCATGTGCCATTGCTTCATGAGTGCAAACTGCACCACAGACTGTGCCCTCACCAGAAGAGTACGCAGGCTACCGCACTTGTTGAGACGTGAGGGTCAAAACTTCACCACAGACTGTGCCCTCACCAGAAGAATACGCAGGTTACCGCACTTGTTGAGACGTGACGGTCAAAACACATTCGAGTCCTCTGTAGACGTGCTCAGCCACTTGATCGACAGCATCGTGCGTTTGCAACATACGTGTTTGATGTGTCTTCTTTGATTATGCACCTCCAACATGTCCTCACATGCTTATTAATGCATAATAAGGGAAAATTGTGCTCACTGCCTGCTTCACTAAATGGAATGCTAGGAGGCTGGTAGGAAATCTGCGTTGTTCTTTTCCAAAACCTTTGCGCGATGCCGATAAACATAGCCTCATTGCCAAATCACATCGCTTAACGATGTGGATCAAAAAGTGTGCCCGAGTCCTCCACGCACCCGCGATTGAAGAGGTCTCGGTACGGCGAGTTCTTCTGCAGCGCCAGGGCGATGCCACCCGGCACGTAGCTGACCGACAGCTTGTGAACCTTGCAGGCGATGGCGGGATCGATCTGCGACAGGTAGTAGTCGGCAGCCTCGTTTGATGCCAGGAATGCATAGTTACCTTGCGCGACCTGTCAACGAAGTACGCTGGCTTTACGCTTTGGCATTCATCAGGACAACTGAACGACGTCGTGTCGTGATTTATAGGTTTAGATCACAAAACACTGCATGAAGCGGCTATCATGCATTAACCCGGGTACAGCGCACTTATAAACCTGCAAGATAGCCTTTTGACGTCCGCTACAAGAGAGATTAAACCCTATCTTCAACACTATTGCCACGAGAGCTCTTTGCTATGAACCACACACAGCGCAGAGATGATGAACAATAATTTCAAAAAACAGCTGCCGTAACCAAACAGGTAAGCTGACAAATGGACAGTGCAGGCCCGACCTTCCTGAAGCCTTCCTCGTACGTATCCACTAGGTTGTTGGCACGATCCGGAAGCACGTGGCGGTCCCAGACCTTCTGCATGGTGTCACAGTCCGGCAGGGTGCTCTCGGTCAGGCGGCACCAGTCCTGCGGCCATGGCGTCAGCACCAGCCGTGATCGCCGCCATTGGGGACCGAGCAAGCCCGGGGCAGCCGTTATGGAGGCTGCCCCGGCTTCAGGCCGATTGCCCGTTTGAGCCACGCCAGATGCATGTAGCGAAGGCTTCACAGACCTTTCAGATTAGGGCTACCAGGACATCCTTCTGGTCCGCTCAGTGACACCAGCCACACATAACCTGACCTTCTCACCAGCAAGTTATCTGGGGCACGATCACCGCGACAGCGGTAGGATGCGAACAGCATGTAACACCGCCATACGCATCAAGATAGTTGCGAAGATATAACCAACTAGCCAGTCCAGCAATACCGATGACACATCTCGCCATACTCGCCAGGAATTTCTCTAAGAGATTACCATCCTGTCAGCCAAACGATGCTGACAGGACAAAACTTTGTTATACACATTAATAAGTTTTTCACTACGACATTTTGCCACACAAGCATTTTGCCAGCCCAGCGATTTTAGCTGCACCTAAGTCAGTCTCGCCATGAAATTACCTACGACATCACGATCCCGCCATCCCGGTGACATCAGCTGCACATAACTCCACCGCACCCACCAGGAAGTTCTCCAAGAGATCTCCGTCTTTCCAGCCAGCGCGCCAGTCGGGCAGCAGCAGCAGGCCGCGTAGGTCGGTGAAGAGCGGCACCGCCTCGTCGGCCGCGGCCAGGAACGACACCAGCGTGGCCGAGTAGGCCGTGTAGATCAGCAAGCCCAGTACCAAACCGCTCAGGAACGTGATGCGAGAGGACAGCGCACCTGGCGTGATCTGTCGGAGCAGTCACCTGCTTGAGCGGGTTAGTTCTTACTGCGCTATTGCAGGTTTTTCTTAACGCACCGGAGAGAAGGAGGCGGGTTCCGATTGATTATGACGTACTTTTCTCGAAAATATTATGTGGGGTGCGAGAAAATATTGCATTTTGTATGAGCTTGTCACAGTCAGTGGAACGCGCAGGCACCTGGAAGAGACGGCACTGTCACGAGGAGCATGCGTTTTACCATGAAGAGTGGGGTATGTTCCGTAATCTTACTATATGAAAGAAACAAATGCTTGAAAACCGGGATGCCCCTGTATCATGCATTGAGTGATCTCTGATTTCCTTGAACGAAGGTGAAGATCGAAACTTAATGCAAATGAGAAAAAGCAAACAAACAAACTTAACAACTGGGCTCATTCGCGTACAAAGGTTTCAATTATTTATTACAAAGGTTACAAATAAATTTGGGTCCGACAGTTCACACTGTCGGCGCAATCGTAACTAGCTGATCTGTGTGATACCCCAGACATAATTGTCCTAGGTTTTAGCTGGGGCAACAAAAGGCGTACGACGAAATTCCAGCACGCGGTTCATGATGGGCTAGTCCGTCCTTTTATTCTAAATATTGCTTTATTCTGCATCCTCATCCTGCCCCGGTTGTCTGGGGCAGGCTGTATGGGCCAGTCA